ACAAATCGTGGACATTGGCTTGTAAGACTAGCATATTACTCGTTCTAAAATCATTTAAAATCAGTAAATGATCAGCAACGCGGAAATCAGAACGCATTTATAATATTATGTAGAGATTAACAGAATAGTATAACTTATTTGAATGTAAAGATTGAAAATAAATTTGGAATTCTGATCAACTTAATACTAATTTTACTTGATGTACAAACGCAAATTTCATTGAAGATAGTTTTCAAAATTCATCACTAAACGATGGAGAAAATTTCACATATTTTATAAATTTTATTTTCATTTCCGTCAATTATCACGTATTTTACTAATGATTTCTTTTTTAATAACTTCTTATTTATATAAGTCGAAACTAAGTTAATAATCAAGCGCCATATGCATTACCATATGCTGATCTTGCACTACCTCGGAATAATGTGTGAGATAGCCGGAAGTCAGTAATTCTGTAGAACCTATTTTCGTGAAAAAGACAATAAGTTTTATTATCTTGCTGCATATTGGAAATTATACCGGAAAGCGAAAACAGCATTGTTCATATTGTCAGCGTATTTCGGGCGCGTCCATATGTAAAGTGGCCATAATACATCTGAGCTCACTAAGAACAATATATGATACTTATGTTATATAGTGAAATAATTACTGGAAAAATAACTTTTTTTTGTAATATCATATGTATAATGTTGGTGTGTGTGATATTATATTTTATTATTATATTTTATATATTATACAGGGCATCACAGACCAATCGTACCAGCCGATTTTTTTATAAACGCGATACTTTAGAGAAAAATATTTCAAACAAAAATTATTTGGTTTGAAAGGGGATATAAGACAGCGCTTTATTTACAGGTGATGCTACTTTCGAGATATTCACTGATCATCAATTTTTTAAAATAGAAATCTCACCTTTTTATTACAGCTTTTTCTACCAATTAATTTGAACAATTTTTGTCTCAAACATTTTTCTGTTTGCCCAATATTTTTTGGAATATTTAAGGAAAACTCGGTAATTTTTTCAATACTTAACTTACGATATCTCACTAACTATTTGTCAAAAGAAAAAATAGTATTAGACTTTTTTACTTTATTCTGTTTCAAAAATATATTGCTACAATAATGCCCTAACTTTTGTTAACTTATTAGTGTTTAGAAATTTCAAAATTATCAAATTAACAAAAGTCAGGGCACTATTATAATAATATTGCTTCAAAAACGGTGATTTTCACGTCGAAGACCGGCATAGCGGTGGAAGAGAGGTTTTCGAAGATGCAGAATTGAAGGTATTACTTAATGAAGACTCTTGTCAAAGTCAAGAAGAATTGGCACGATCATTGGGAATGACTCAACAAGCAATTTCAAAACGCCTCAAAGACATGGGAATGATTCAGAAGCAAGGAAATTGGGTGCCGCACGAGTTGAAATTCGTACCCGAGAGATGTTGAACGGCGTTTGTTTGCTTGTGAACAATTGCTTGAAAGGCAAAGACGGAAGGAATTTCTGCATCGCATTGTGACTGGGGACGAAAAATGAGTTCATTACGATAACCCCAAGCGCAGAAAATCATGGGCATATCCCGGCCATGCTTCCACGTCGACGACCAAACCGAATATTCACGGCTCCAAGGTCATGCTCTGTATTTGGTGGGACCAGCTCGGCGTAGTGTATCATGAGCTGTTAAAACCGACTGAAACAATCACAGGCGATCGTTATCGAACGCAATTAATGCGTTTGAGCCGAGCATTGAAAGATCAACGGCCGCAATACAACGAGAGACACGATAAAGTGATTTTGCAGCATGACAATGCTCGACCCCATGATGCGAAAGTGGTCAAGACATACTTGGAAACGTTGAAATGGGAAGTCCTACCCCACCCGCTGTATTCTCTAGACGTTGCCCCCTCCGACTATCACTTGTTTCGATCAATGGCACACGGCCTAGTTGATTAGCACTTCCGGTCTTATGAAGAAGTAAGAAATTGGATCGATTCGTGGATCGCTTCAAAAAACGACCAGTTTTTTCAACGCGGGATTCGTACGTTACCCGAGAGATAGGAAAAAGTAGTGGCCAGCGATGGATAATACTTTGAATCATAAATGTATAACCAGTTTTTTACAATAAAGCCTCGAAATTCGGGAAAAAACGGCGGAAGCAAAGTTGTACACCTAATACATTAGACTTAATGGATATTGAGTCTATTATTAAAGCTACATTTTTTAAATAGTCACAATCAATACTTTCTTTTTTTAGAAACTGAAAAACGGTATCAAGAAAACGTGCTTCGCAAGAAAAATGTGCAACATATCTCCGTAATGTTACTTCATGAGGTAGACTTAAGTACTCACGAACAAAATTGTATGCTTTTGGAGAGTAAAAATATAACGTAGATGCAAACATTTTTATTTTATCTGAGTACGTTCTCTCAAACTTTTTATCCTTATTCTTCAATTCATTGTTTAATAAGTCCAATTTCAAACCACTAAACTATGTGAAGAGTATTTCTTCTAACTCATCTGATGAGTTACCTGCATCTTTTAAACGCTGCAACATATCTCTTATATTTGACAGTTTTAAGTTTCTTCGGTATAATCTACATCTTAAAATGTTATTCTCACGCTTCAATTTTTCTTCTCGACCACTTAATTTAAGTCGTTGTGGAGATATTTATATTGATACATCCTATTTAAAACACAATTCAAAAATTAATAAACAGGATAAAAAAAGGAATAAGAGTAAAGTAATTTGACAAATCAATTTACCTATATCAGGAGATACTTGTATTTCTTTCTCGTCCTTTTTTTCTTTTGTAATGGTTCTGTTATGTCCTAGAGGAGGAGCGCAACTTTCCCGTTCGCGGTAAAAGCGAACCTCGTTCGTACACGTGTGTCAGGGAACGTGTCAGGAACCCGACGGGTCCCTTTACTCGCTCGCTGACGTACGACGAGCGGTCCATTTTTCGGTCAGAGACGCGAATCCCTTTATCGGGGATAAGACCATGAGTCGACTGTTGGAAGGTGGGGTGATTTTGAAATTAATTAATGGAAAATTAGATATTTAACAAATTTATCAAAATACAGATGACAAACAAAATGATATAACGGCACGGTTTAAAATATGACAATTTATAGTTATGCGAATGATTGTATGTGTATGTGTGTCTGTATGTGTGAGAGAAAAGGAAAGAGAGGAAAAAAAAGGAAAATAAGGGGAATTAATAAAATGGTGATAGGAAGGGTAGATAATAAAGAAAGTAAAACTTACTGTTGGTTTCAAAGCAGAGAGAGAGAGAGAGAGAGAGAGAAAGAGAGAGAAAGCAACCAAAAGAAAATGTTGCTGATCTGCGTAGATGTGCAACGCTGGCTCTGTCGCTTTCGGATTTCCAATTCGTTAACGGCGATGTTACACACAACTATGTTCTCTTTTTTTAGGCAGCGGATAATAATTAAATTTCGAAATTAATAATTAAGCAGCGGAATTTTAATATTCCTATGATTCATTGTATTATTCATCGAGAAGCATTATGTGGGAAAGCTGTGAAATTAAGTAGTGCAAATGGTGACAAAAATAATAAATTTTATTAAGGGCGGTAACAAATTTCTTTCTCATCGAAAGTTTCAGCAGTTTCTCGCAGAGCATAATGCAGCCTACACGGATGTACCCCTTTGTGAGGTTCGCTGGCTTAGTGCTGGTAAATGTTTAGAGAAGTTCTTTGCAATAAAAAAAGAAGTCTTCCTTTTCTTGCAAGAACATTCCATTACAAAATACAAAGAATTTCAAGATTTTTCACTAATTTAGAATTACTTTCTGAACTCGCAGTAATAAATGACTTAATTACTCATCTCAATTCATTAAATTTAAAGCTGCAAAAGCCGAATCAAAATATTTCTGAATTGATTAGTAGTGTAGATTCTTTTCAGAGAAAATTAATAATACTGAAAAATCATTTAATACAACATATTTTCCATTTCTTTCCATGTTACCAGATTCTTGCAAAGGGACATAATAAAATTCATTTCAAACGACACATTGACATTCTTGAGTCAATAATAACTCAATTCGAAACGCGTTTTAGTGATATCGCAATACTTCGGAATGATTTAATTATTTTTGAAAATCCTGTCACTGCTCAGATTGAGGAACAGAAATTAGAATTTTAAGAGGAACTTTGCCGTCTTCAAACTGATATTTTCCTTAAGGGGGAATATACAGTCAGAAATTTGAAAAAATGGTTTTTTTTATTTTTCTTTTTATATGAAAGTACAACATCTCAGGAATGTTGTGTCAAAATTTCAAGTTGATCCGAGCAAAACTGAGTGAGTTAGAGCGTCTAGAAGACCCGCCCGCCCAACCCGTTGAAGCACGAGCGGCACGTAGGGCGCAGGTATAAACACGTTTGTTTTCAAGACCGGTAGAACCGTTAGTCTCGCATCAGTCTTTGAACTGTACGCTTGTTGTGCGCCTGTGGAAAAGATTTTCGTGCCGTTTTCTACTATGGAAGATCGTAAAGTGAACAGAAATACCCGGCAAAATAGTGCAGCTCGAAAAGACAGGTTTAAAAAACGGAGGCAGAGTTTTAATCCAAAAACGGCCGAAACTGACCCATTAAGTTTCAGTACATCTGCAAAAAAAATAAAGTATCTCGAGGACATGCATGTGCCAACAGACAATACTGTAGAATACAGAATTCTGAATTTTTTTACAGTTTTTTCGGTCATTTCGAATGTAGTAAAGTGCAAGATATGCAATGGTGATGTACAATTTCAAACGTGCAGTGATCGTGGCCTCGGATTCAAAATTACTGTAATGTGTAACACGTGTCCGCCCAATTACATATCCTCTTGCCCTTTTATCGGCCATACTTATGAAATAAATCGCAGATTTATTTACGTGATGAGAATTTTAGGACTAGGATTAGAAGGGTGTAAAAAGTTTTGCGGTTTAATGGACCTGCCACCATTTTTAAATCAAACAACTTATATTATGGTTAAAAATATGAAAGAGTGTGTGAATACCGTTGCTGAGAAAATTTTTTCAGATGCTGTAGAAGAAGAAAAAAAGAAACATGTAAAAAATACAATTTAGATTATACAAATGAACTAACTGTATCGGGAGACGGAACGTGGCAAAAGCGTAGTTTTAATTCATTGTTTGGTGTAGCATCATTAATTGGCTATTATAGTAATAAAATTATTGATGTATGCGTAAAAAGTATCTACTGTAAAATGTGTGAAGTTTGGAGTAAAAAAATGAATGTCAAAGAGAATGAATACAAAGAATGGTACGAAACACATAAGGAAAATTGCTCCGCAAATCATACAGGTTCCTCTGGCAAAATGGAAGTGGATGCGGTAATAGAAATGTTTAACCGTTCTGAGGAAAAATACGGTGTAAAATATCGTTATTATATCGGAGACGGAGACTCGAAAACATTTACTGGAATATTACAAAAAGTTGATAATGGCAATGATTTTGAAATTTTCAAGAAAGAATGTGTTGGGCATGTCCAAAAAAGAATGGGAGCTCGCCTCCGTAATATCGTCAATAACACTGTCGTTGAAGTTGAAACGAAAAATAAGAAAAGAATAAAAAGAAAAGTTTTGGGAGGAAAAGGCAAATTAACCGGAAAAACGATAGACAAGCTCACGGTTTATTACGGACTAGCAATTCGACGTAATTGTGAGAATATTGAGGACATGAAAAAAGGTATTTGGGTCACATTTTACCACTACGCTTCTACAAATGAAAATCCTCAACACGATATGTGTCCAGTTGGCGAAGATTCTTGGTGTGAGTGGCAGCGTGATGCAGCCATGGACAAGCTTCAATCGTTCGTGCACTCATATGACAGTTTTAGTAATGTCATATTGCAAGCAATTCGACCTGTTTACGAAGATTTGAGCTCGGATACCTTACTAAAAAGATGTATTGGCGGCTTCAACCAAAACAACAATGAGAGCTATAATCAGTTGATTTGGAAAATTACGCCAAAAATTGTTCCAAGTGGCTCTACAATAGTAGATATTGCTGCTAAAATTTCAGCGTGTGTTTTTAACGAAGGATCATCGAGTCATCTAGCTATTCTTTATTCAATGAGAGTGAAATTAGGACGTAATTCTGTCGATTATTGCCGAAAATTGGACGAAAAACGAATTAACGCCGCCGAGTACAGAGCGAAACTCGCTACACGGGAGGCAAGAATCCTACAAAGGCAGAAAAATTCTGAACAATTGGACATTCTGGAAGGCGTCGAGGACTTATTTTATGGTCCTGGAATAGACGATTCTGTGTAAGTTGAAAAAAAATTGTTATGGAGGTTTTATTCATACTGAAAACTTCAAACGCGTTTTTCTCAAAACCACATTTTCAAAGTTGGTGGACACGATATCTCAAAGTCTAATGCACCGATTATTTTCAAATTGTGCACACTTATTTTATACATGTTAAGCTTCCGGGTGAACGAAGGATTTTTGTTTTCAATAATTAGAACTCGTTTTATAAACATAATACGGTCAATTTTTTAAGCGAAAATCGTGACCTTAACTTCAAAGTACTCTAAAAAATTCAAAATTCAAATTTTTTCAAAATCCTTCGTTCACCCGGAAGACAAAGTCCTATACAAACGAAATCTTTTTGCTTTTTTTGTTTCAGATAATCCTGCCCAAGATATGATGTCCACGAGAATGCATCTTTTTTTTACGATTCGCATTTACGTCATCGCTAAAACTTATATTATTATTATTATTGGCTAAAAAAATTACAAAATGTTCTTCAAACATAGCTTAACATTATAGAAAAGTTTTTGAATAAATAAGTATAGTCATTTAGTTTAAAAAAATTCTTGAAAAACCTCCTTTTTTCGCGCCTCTGACTGTATATTCCCCCTTAAGGCGCGGCTAGAAAAAGGAATAGATTTTTTTAAGATTTTAAAGCAATCTTCTTATCCTCTTTTAATAAATTTTAGTCTTTGTATTTTTTCTATGTTCGGTTCCACATATCTATGCGAGAGCTCTTTTTCTAAAATGAAATTAATGAAAACGGATAAACGTTCTTCTTTAAATGATGCATCTTTATCCTCTTTAATGCTAGCAAGCACTTCAAACTTTGATGTTGATATTTCATCACTTGTACAGTCGCACAGTATTCGAAAATTGGTTTAATTTCTTCTTCTTTTTAAGTTCCCATTGCCGATCAAAAGTTGCTGTTTTTCTCTTCTCCTTCAGTGGAATAGGCTTACAGGGGATACCATTAAAAAAAAAACGCGTCGGCAATAGTATCTCATGGGTGACCTATGGGGGGCGCGGAAACCTATTATGTATCTTCTAATTATAAAAATATAAAAAAAAATATATATATACTTGTACAAGTTTGTACGAAATATTATACATATAGTCGTATCGATACATTTATTTTTCAGCCTTTGAAGTGCGTTAAAAGAGCGCGCTGTCAACGCTAACACGTTATTCTATCCTTATCGCTCATTACATATACAAGGATTGAATGCCGCGTTAGCGCTGATCGACGCGCTCCCCGAACGCATCTTTAGTAGGCAATGCATAGATGCGCCTTATGATCTTAACGGTCCTGAGATCGCGAGCCACGACCGTCAGTTGTTGGATCCGCCGCGGTAAGAGGAGACGTAGCTCCCGAGAATCGGCCAAACGTTGGAAACTTTGCCGAGCTCTGATCTACGCCGTGTGATAGGAGATCACACGCTGTCGTCAATCGAAGAATTTACCACTCTTCTTTACCAGGTTGAGGCTTGTCTGAACTCTCGGCCGATCGCACCTCTATCGGACTCATTCGATGACTATCAATACCTGACTCCGGGACATTTTTTAATAGGATCTTCGCTCACTGTTCCTCCTCGTTCCTGAACCCTCGATATTCATGTTGCCCGAAAACCGGTTGTCTCGGTGACAACTTGTTTGCCAGTTTTCCGAACGATTTTGGCTCTTATGGGCGAGTGATTACATCAACATTCTCCAACAGCGCACTAAGTGGCGCAAGGTGACTCCGTCGATGCAAATAAGCCGTCTCGTCTTGTTGCGCAACCCGACTCGCGCGCCGTGCAAGTAGGAGCTCGGCCGAGTTAGCCAGGTTCATCCTGACGCCGACGAATTAATTCGCATCGTCACCATTAAAACCGCCGCGTTAAGTTATGTCCGCCCGATTGGGAAGCTTTGCGTGCTTCCCATTGAATGTACTTCACCGTCGACTTAACGAGTGTAATATGTTCATCATGCGTTCCTATTGCTTTAAGTCGTAATTATTGTATCTGTCAATGTTGGCTCAGGGCGGGTGGCGGCTTCCTGCGTTGCGAGCCAACACTTGCCGTTTGATTCATTTTAATTGATTGGCTGCTGGAGCTGTGTGTCGGGTATTTTCTTTTTAAATACGTACCGAGCATTGAACCTACGTTTCAAGGCGGGCGGTATGTTCGCCTGGACCTGTGAGGTTTTTAAAGTTCACGAATATTCTCTCATCCGCTGTTCACGTGAGCCCTGCGAGCTTAGTTTCCGATCACTATTCGGTGTTTCATGCTAGGTTCACGTGAGCAGTGAATCAAACGAGGCTGGAACAGCCAATCCGGCACATACATGTGTTTACCTGTCCGCCGAGAGTTGCCTGGGTATCTCGATGGGAATGTCGTCGCGATTTTCGTCTCGTTTTTAAAACGGCTGCCGGTGGATCGTTATGCGTGTATCACACTAGCGACTGCGGCTGCGGCTGCGATTGCGATTGCGATTCTTCTTCGACCAATCAGAAAGCGACTCGCGGCTGCGACTCACGAATGTCGTTTGGACGGCTGTCCATTTTTCGAGTCGCAGCCGCAGTCGCAACCAATCACAGAACTCCGTATAATCACGTGACGCGCTCGTCATAATCACATTTATTTAATAGTATGTAGAAGTTGGTGATCATTAGAATAAGGTTATATCTGTGTTGTTTTATGTGTTATGTATATTTTTTTTTAAATGTCAAAACAATTTAATAAGGAGATAGACTATTATTTAATAGATCTCGTAAAATATAAACCCCTTCTCTGGGATTGTACGTGTAATAGTATGTTAACAGTATTTAACCGCAGCCGCGATCGCCAATCGCAAGTGTGATTGGAAAACAAGAAATCGCAATCTCAATCTCAGTCGCAGTCGCAGCCGCGAGTCGCTAGTATGATACGGACTTTACAACACATTATTTGGTTCTCTCGGAGCGTTAGGCGCCGCGATTCTTCGTGCTTGTCTTTTCGACTTCTTAGCGCAAGCTTGCCGCATGTCGTGCTGCACTCAATTCGATTTTCATTCAGTAAATTTGATTGCACCTTAACGTCAGTCATTACGTTCTCTAGTGCAGACTAGAGTACCTCAAGTCAGAATATGGACATCATTAGTCGATTTTTTATTGGTTCTTTGGACCGCCATCTTTTTTCTTTGGCCGCATAATAGGGAAATAGTAGAGGAAACTTTCTATTTCGTGGGCATGGTTCTATATCTATGAGCGCGTGCCGCACAGTACCACATTATATGCATTTTGGGGACGATATTTCTGCGCAATTTTTATGTAAGTTTTATTACATACAATATTTAATATTAAAATTTTGTTATTATTAAGTAAATTATTAATAATTAAGTCGACTTTTTAGTCAATACTTAACCTTGAACCACTTATGTTTAACTTTATAATCCTAACCTTAAACTCACATGCATATATACATACATATAAAAAAGCTTTGACAATATTTGCTTTATAGAAGTGTAAAATGCCCAGTTGTACAGCAAACAATTGCTCCAACTCGTGGAAAAAACATTTAAGATGTGTTATTTTCCATTGAATGATTCAGAAAGATGTGCAATATAGGTAGCATTTTTTAAAAATTCTCTTGACTGATTATGAAAGTTCAAATTCAATTTTACGTGATTCAGAAATGATTGTTCTAGAATTTTTGCAGGACCGGTTTGTAAAAAAGAAAGCTCTTGAAAAAAGTCATGAAAAAGTGTCCGTATATCCGTACAGGACTTAATGGGTTAAATATACTTCATTTGAGCAGCTCTGTTCATCTACCGATACTGACTTTGATTTACGTCAAAATATAGATGTTTCGTTTTGTTATATAATACAATTTTTTCACTTAACGATCGTAATAGTAAGAAGTAAAGAAAAGAGTAAGAAAATAGTAAGAAAACTAAAACTAATATTAAGGAAGTATTCGAAATAAATTCTAATTATTCGGAAAGTAATTTTGAAATGAAAGAATTTTGCAAAATTGTAAACACAGATATAATACATGATCAATAGAAACATACAAATAACTTACATTTCCAGAATCGAAAATCGTTTATATTTCTGAGAGTATTGCTTTTCCGACTTCTGTTTACTAGATACTTTCTATTCAATATAATGTGCTGTCTATTCTAGAGTGATACATTTTGACTGACTTTTTTTAATATCCATCCGTGTGTATGTTATGTCTATATGTCTTTTGTATCTATGTATAATTATCATTTCAGTTGAACATTTTCATGATGCTTGCATACGTTTCGGTCATCTTGATATGTATTGGTACATATCACCTTATCTCGTATTATCGTAAACGATTACGTTTCATGCAAGCAGCAAACGCTCTACCAGGCCCGAAAGCGTATCCAATTATTGGAAATGCTTACTACTTTTTCCAGACAAGTTTTGACGGTAATATTATCATTTATAAACTTATCGTTTTGTTTTTACATTTTACCATTTTCAAGATGTGATTTTGTTATAATAATATAGAGAAAAGCATTAAAATGAACATCATAATGATGATTGTTAGCTATTGTTAATTTACATGTATACAATATGTGTTAATTTTACCTACATATTGAAAAACACATATATCCCTAAACACCTGTAACCTAGATTTCATTCTCCAATACTGGCAAACTTAAATTTTGATAAATTTTGTCAATACATGAACGTATACAAGATGTCAGGAAAAGGGCTTTGTCCTTTCTCCTAGTTGTATTTATTTTATTTATTCTTAAATGATTTTTACATGGTGTTTCAAAAATAGGTAGCCAAATTTTAAGAGCATATTCTACTATAAGGATGAAAAAAGTCATGCAAACATGTGGGTCCAGAAGCGTAACTTTCTTAAGTTGTAAACAATTTTTATTAAGCATATCGTCAGCATATTTCAGTCGCATTGTTCGAGAATTTTTAAATAATAAATACGTCAATAGATGGATTAACAGAGGAGGTCCCTGTTAGGAATTTTAATAAATTCATTTTTGTGTTTGAATGTTCGCGCGCCTAATGAATATTAGCGTAGAGAAATGTTTTCGAACGCAACGGCATAAATGACATCTTGCACATGATTTACAGTAGCTACCTCTTCTGTTCTCTTGCATTCGCTTCTCGTACTTACGAAAGAAAAGAATGGAAAAGAACGGTGTACTTGTTGCGTAACTACAATTTTTCTTGTGGATTGTTCGATCAACTATTAAAATTGTATTCTCTTTCAAACACGCCTGTATTCAATCTCTCGTATTCGCTCGTATTCAGAGAAAGTTAATAATACCTAACATGTCCATTGTTTCGCCTCTTACAAGAGGAGGACGCATCGACCGGGAAACGGTTTGGAACGAACTTACGGAGTTAATGGTACTTGACTACTAATAACTCATGGTAATAGCATACGACGCAATACCTCTTCGTTTTCGAGAAAAAACGGTCAAAGAAAAGAGTCAAAAAAGTGTACGAGTTAGTAAGAAGGATATCTAACGAAGTGGCGTAGCGCAGCAGCGAAGGTAACGGACTATCGAGGTGACGGGCTGAGGTTCGATCTCTGCTGTATGGTTTTTTTTATTCTGTAAGTATAAAAATGAAACAGAAAACATTAATAAATAATAAAACTGCGTTTCTTAAATATATTAGTGTTTGGTAAATATATTATTAATGATTTAAATTGCAAGAAGACTGTAAATCTTATCTATAAAATATATAGTGTATGAGAAAATTTTTATATAATAATTGCAATGGAAATAGGAATAAAAATATTGTTATGAAATATATAAGAATGCTACTAACCCTTTGCGGTCGATGCCGCCACAGTGGCGGCATTCGTAAGTCGTCGTAGAAGTCGATGCCGCCAGGCTGGCATTCATGATCGCCTGGCGTGCGGCACGGCAAATGAGGCTAGCGATAATGATAGAAAACTATCCTCCCGATGCTAGATTCAAATGTTTAGATCAACTTACAGATATCCATGTTTATCGATCTCTTCGAAATTAGCCGATCGCAAAGAGTAAAACTAGTATGAGATAATTTTTCGTAATCTTATATCGTATATATAAAATATTTATTTCTGTTACAATTCTCTATGTTGTATTGAAGTCGTGTTGTGTTGAAGTTATGTTGTGTCTTTATCTCTTCTGGCAATCCCCCTCCAAAAACTTCCTTTGTGTCATTCTAAACGATCGTTAAGAATGACGAAATGATTCGAGCATCGGAACAGTCGTCAGTAAAGCAAGCAGCAGCGTGCGTTTACTAGTGATACAGAGCAATTCGGTGATCATATTTAAATTACATGTATCATAACAATGTCAGAGAATCCTTCAACAAGCAAAATAGTTGGTGTAGAATTGTTAGAAGAAAGATCTTTTGAAAATGAAGATTTTAAAAGTGAATTCACTAATGCTCTCGTATATGCGAATTCTACTTACGAGATAATGAATTATTATCGAAAAATCCTCCAGCGAAAATATATATTTTTACTCCTATTTCCATTGCAATTATTTTTATATAAAATTGCAATTATTATTATATAAAAATGTTCTCATACACTATATATTTTATAGATAAGATTAGGGTTTTTTTTGCAATTTAAATCATTAATAGTATATTTAACAAACACTAATATATTTAAGAAACGCAGTTTTATTACTTATTAATGTTTTCTGTTTCATTTTTATGCTTAGAGAATAGAAAAAAAGCCATACAGCAGGGATCGAACATCAGCCGTCACCTCGGTAGTCCGTTACCTCGCTGCTGCGCTACGCCACTTCGTTGGATATCCTTCTTACTAACTCATACACTATGTTGACTCTTTTCTTTAGACCGTTTTTTCTCGAAAACGAAGTGATATTGCGTCGTATGCTATTAGCATGAGTTATTAGTAGTCAAGTACTATTAACTCCGTAAGTTTCGTTCCAAACCGTTTCCCGGTCGATGCGTCCTCCCCTTGTTAGATTTCCATCTCTTAGCTTTTTATTTATGCGAACATCTTAAAACTTTTCTCAGCAAACACAATGTAACATGTAACATACTTGTTAATTGTAATTTCGTACTTAACAATTTAACTGTTATATGACATATGCGTTATATAACAGCTGTTGAATAGGAAATTACAAGTAACAAGTATGTTGCATGTAATAATATGTTTGCTAGGTTGTTTATGAGACCCTGTTGCTATTGTAGAAATCGTATTATCGCTTTATATGACAAAACACAAAATATTCCAGAAATTTTTGAATGTTTTTAACACTTCACGAGACGTCGATGCGAGGTATGCATTATTGCAAAAAGAAATTATTTCCAACAATTTCTTTAATGAAATGTTCTTATCAACGTCTATTGTCAATAGAAAGTGTTTATAACTTGGAAAAGAAGGATCATTCCTAGACCCATGTTTTTATGATCTTTTGCATCCTTACAATGAGTAGAATATGCTCTTAAAGTTTGGCCATCTAGTTCTGAAACCGTATTTATACATCAACAATTAAGTTTTAAACGTAAATATTAGCTATAAAATTATTAGAATCTCTCTTTTTTAATAATTTTTCAATAAACAACAATAACAAGTACTGAGACTGAAAATTTACTAACTACTACTCACAGTAATAACTATAACAATATGTATCACAATTATTGAAATCGGTAAATGGTTCCCGTCTCTTTACTTAATTATACAATATTTTTAATAAAAGGAAACTATATATGTAATATTATTATTTCATGTTAAAATTATATGACGTTTATTATATTCTTTTTAATTTTTTTATTATATTCTTTATAATTTTAATACAATTAAATAGACAACTGCTTCATTGTAATGTACTTCTCAAGCATAAAAAGTTTCAGATTTACTGCCCAGTCTGTATAAGCTTATGGATATTTATCCTTCTCCATTTCGATTATGGATGGGCAATAAGTTAATTATTATTATATCCGAACCAGACCAAGCAAAGGTAAAAGAATACGTATTTGTTAATTTATTTCTAAATGAATCATGTACAAACTAACTATAAAATTGTAATATATCATTGCTGCTTTCTAATATATCAAAAGTATGTTTAATACCAGGTTTGTAAATATGAAACCGGAATTTGCCTATAGATGGTCCTAGCTGTCAATGTAGTTACCGTCAAACCGCGTCATTGGCGCCATTTCCATTTGTTGACATCTGACAAAGATTTTCAACTCACAACAATACAAGTTTCATACAACAGCATAGTTTGTAATAGCGTTGAACATGTCGAATTTTGTGCCTGGAAGCTACGATTTGCGGACAGCAAATGATTTTTTGTTACCATTTGAAGAAAATTGCTGCAGAATCGCATCGAATGCTTATCGAAGCTTACGGTGAGCATGCTCTTGGTAAATCACAGTGCTTTGAGTGGTTTAAAAAATTCAAACGTGGCGATTTTACGTGAGAAACGAAGAACGTGGAAGACCACCGAAAAAATTTGAAGACAGCGAATTGCAAGCATTGTTGGATGAGGATGACGCTCAAACGCAACAACAACTCGCGGATCAATTAAATGTGACACGAGAAGCCGTCTTCATACATTTGAAAGCCATGGGAAAGATTCAGAAGATGGGAAAATAAAATTCCACATGAATTGAATGAAAGACAGCAGGAAAACCGAAAAACCACTTGCGAAATGCTGCTCGCCAGGTACAAAAGAAAGTCATTTCTCCATCGAATTGTGACTGGCGATGAAAAGTGGATATATTTTGAGAATCCTAAGCGTAAAAGATCATGGGTAACTCCAGGCGAACCATCGACATCGACTGCAAGGCCAAATCGCTATGGACGGAAGACAATGCTCTGTGTTTGGTAGGATCAGAAGGGTGTGATCTATTATGAGCTGCTAAAACCTAGCGAAACCGTTCATACTGAACGCTACCGACAACAAATGATCGATTTGAATCAAGCTTTGCGTGAAAAACGACCAGAATATCAAAAAAGGTAACACAAAATGATTTCGCTTCATGATAATACACCATCACACACAGCAAAACTGGTCAAGGAAACGATTGAGGCGTTTAGTTGGGAGATACTTTCGCATGCGGCTTATTCACCAGACTTAGCTCTGTCCGATTACTACTTATTTGCATTGATGCGGCACGCACTTGCTCAGCAGCGCTTCACTTCTTACGGAAATATACGAAAGTGGCTCGATGACTAGTTTGCCTCAAAAGAGCAACAGTTTTATTGTCGTGGCATCCACAAATTGTCAGCCAGGTGGGAAAAATGTATAGCTAGCGATGGGCAATATTTCGAATAAAATATTTTTTATCATTTTCATACAATAAACGTGTATTTTCTATACAAAAATTCCGGTTTTATATTTACATACCTGGTATATCAAAAGAACGTATCAAAAGGTCAACCAACTAACAAGTGAAAGAAAAGCTTGAATAGAATATATAATGTATACTGTTACCCACGACCGACTCGCGCGTACCGAGTTTACGAAAATAATTATAATTCGTTCAGGAAGAACTATTATTATTTTATAATAACAGAACTCTTTTCAAGCATACAAAAGCTCAGGTTTTCACGCAAATTCTTAAGATCGTTGTCAACGTTTCTCTGTCAGCTGATCTCTCCTTTATTGGTTGATTCCGTCGTCCAGACAATCCTTCTTCAGTTGTTCAATCGATCAAATGCTTAAGGCTCGCGGACAACGGACGCTGCCACAAACCTTGTGTCTTGGATACAACAATACGTATACATAGTGTGGATAAAAAGTTTTCGGACTTTTTCTCATAAACAAAATCTCATAAACAAAAGAAAGTAAGGTAAAAAAATGTTTATTAGTAATTATTCTATGATCCCTGTAAAGCTATACAATGCTGTTCAATGTGCTCTGCCAGCCGCTCCAAAGCCAGCCGCTGAAAATCTCTTATTGCAATGTTTCGTAGCTCCTTCATTACGTTATCTCCTCTTATGGAAAAGAAACTCAAAAATACACTCAAAATAATATTCAATTTGCGCGTAAATTCGAATATTCAATTAAGTATAACCCAGTCAGAACCACAACGTGGATCCGACGTCGATGAGGGTTCAATTAACGTTGATTCAAAGGTTCACCGACCATATCAACGTCAAATCAACGTCGAATCGATGTTATTCCTTACGGAAAAAACATTCGAATATTGAATTGAGTGTTTATATTCAATTGTTCAAATTTATCCTCAAATATACACTCAAATTTGAGTATATATACCCACATTTGAGAGTAAATTCGAACAACTGAGTATAAATACTCAATATTTGAGTGTTTTTTCATAAGAAATGTTTCTGACTAGATAATATTCAACTTGAGTGTAACCCTCATACTTGAGTGTGACGTGAGTGTTATCCTCATCTTGAGGCCTGTGATTATGCCTGTGTTATTCTCGACTTGAGAGTTAGTTTAAGTTACTCTACAGTTGAGAATAACACTGAAATGAGTACTGAAATTCAGAATAACTTTGAAGTTAATTCTCAAGTTAAAGATACCATTGTATTAGGTTGGGGAAAAAGAAATCTATTATTTTTCCGCTAGATGGCTTTAGTGGTATATATCACGTGATGTATTAATCGCATAGGTTAATATTTATACTCGTTGGAAAAGTGACATTCCGTACTAAAAAAATTCTTTAACGGTTTTGTGATTTGTCGATTAAGTTGTTATAGCACGTAAAAGATGTACGTTAACAAAGAGAAAATTCGGGATATTTTACAATTTTGCTTCGATAAAGGCGAAAATGCAAGCCAGGCGGCTGAAATTGTGAATGGTATTTATGATCCCGATACTGTCACAGCCAATCACGCGCAATTTTGGTTTCGTCGATTCCGTTCCGGTAATTTTGATGTTAAAGATGCATCTCGCACAGGTAGGCCCGTCGTCGAAAATGTCAATAAAATTATGGAAATAATCGAAGTAGACCGGCATGTTAGCCGTAGTATCGCCCAGGAGCTGAAGATGGACCACAAAACAGTTTTAAACCATTTGCATAAAGCTGGATTCAAAAAAAGCTCGATGTTTGAGTGCCACACGAATTGACGCAAAAAAACATGATGGACCGAATTTCAATCTGCGAAGCCTTGACCAAACGGAACGAAATCGAGCCATTTCTGAAACGGATGGTGACTGGGGATGAGAAATGGATTACATATTGTGCGAAAACGATCGTGGTCAACGCGCAGCGAAGCGGCTCAAACGGTGGCCAAACCAGGATTAACGGCCAGGAAGTTTTTGCTGAGTGTTTGGTGGGACTATAAAGGAATCATCCACCATGAGCTGCTTTCATGTGGCCAAACACTAAATTCGGACCTCTATTGTCAACAATTGGACCGTTTGAAGCTAGCGATCGACCAGAAGCGGCCAAAATTGGTCAATAGGAGAGGAATTGTTTTTCATCAGGACAATGCCAGGCCACATACGTCTATATAGTGACTCGTCAGAAACTCTGGGAGCTTGGTTGGGAAGTTTTGATGCATCCACCATATAGTCCGGACCTGGTGATTACCATCTGTTTTTGTCATTGCAAAACTTTCTTGATGGTAAGAAATTGACCTCAAGAGAAGACTGTGAAAATCGCTTAATCGAGTTTTTTGCAAATAAGGACCAGGGCTTCTGTGAAAGAGGGATCATGAAATTATCTTTAAAATGGCGACAAATTGTAGAACAAACCGATGCTTGGACCAAAATCGAACAATCCTAACTATGTTAAATAAAGCCTTGAAATAAACGAAAAAATAATTAATTTCTTTTTCTCCAACCTAATATTTGTGTTTAAATCCGAAGCAGTTGTTACATTAAAGTTTAGTATAACAACAAGCTGGATATGCAGTTTGATGAATAAATTATAGCACTTGACAGGTTACATCCTGAAAAAAAATATTCCTTTAAAATACTCATTAATAATAATAATAAGTAATATAGAGAAAAACAATTGTTACCAAATAACAATTGGTTAACAATTTTGTTAATTAAAAGTATAAAGTAAATGGTAATAATTTTATTAATTAAAAGTATGTAGTAAATGGTAAAAGTATATGATAAATGTATACTTTTACCATATAACGGTAGGTCTTATATAGGCAGAAGAGAAAATCATGATAACATCAAAATAACTTCAAAATGATGAGAAAAACTTATTTTTTCGTCATGATTCGGTCATTTTCTCAATGCAATGCCATTAGTTAATAAAATGGAAACTTATCAACATACGCATGTACATTTATTATGCATATAATTAATATTATAGAAAAATATACACTTTTGATACATGACGTATTTATTATTTGTCTCACCATCATTCATGCAATTATGTAGCATTTTATTAATAAGCTTTGTTTTAGCACATTTTACTTTTTTTCTCTATTGATATAAATAATTATTATTGGAGCATTGTGTTGAACATACTATTGTTACACAATTATTTTCCAGTTTATTTAAAAAACAATATTTACAGTATATATTTAACTTAAGAATTTATTATATAAAAAGTGTTTATACAGGGTTTTATACAGTTTTATACAGGGTGTCTGAGAAATTTTGAACCAAGCGATTTGTACAAATAGAACAGGTGAAATTGAACAATGAAGCCATATAAAATTTTCCAAGAATTGCAATAGTTATTAAGTTATTAATTAAAACTGGGCCAATGAGCGCACGAAAAACAATAGGCTGAACTTGATAGAAGTATATACAAATAGATACATGCAGATCGCAAGATAGGGTAATCATCTTTTATTTATGATCGTCGTCTATGATAATGATCCAACAGTCACGTCTTCAGACTCATGAAATTGTTTGATACGTGTCATGCTGCTCCGCGACAAAAAATAAAATTTACTCCAAAGGAGTGCACTGATATGATCATTGTCTACGGACTAGCAAGCGACAATGTACATGTCGTAGCTCGCATCTATGTGGAACGATTTCCTAGGCATACAAGACGTCCATTGAGAAAAAGAATTTTATATGCAGTGTAAAAGTTACGTGAGACTGAGTGCTTAATGCATAACTATGGAACACAGCTGGTGCATTAGTGCATCTTGCCGTTGAAGACGAGGAAAGGATCTTGTGTATTGATCCGCCAAATGCAATCAGCTAATTATCTTTGTTATGATTTGAGTATTCAGAAGTAAGACATTTGTCTTGTCTATTGTCTTCAAACTTCTGTCGAATTCAACCTACCGTCTCCCATACGCTCATTGGCCTAGATATATTAATTAATATCTCAATAACTATTACGATTCTTAGAACATTTTACATGACTTTATTGTTCAATTTCACCTATTCTACCTATACAAATTGGTAAGTCTAACATTTCTCAGACACCCTGTATAGAGTTTCAATGTCATACTATTCAATGTCATACTTAATTGTGCAGAATAAACTTTTAAATGTTCAATGTATATACTCAAACTGGAATGCGAATGCTCAGTTATTGGGTGTACGCACTCCATCTTTTAAAGAATACATTCAATTGTGAGTATTAATACTCAATCTCTAGAAGTAAACATTCAATGTTCAATATAAATACTCAATATTCAGTGCAGACACGCAAAATATAAGTATGTATACCCAAATTTGAGAGTTTACTTTCAAAATCGAGTATAAAAACTCAATATTTGAGTTTTTTCCGTAAAGGTTAGATCGTTTTGATATTGTCGAATCATTGTCCATTTAGCTTCAATTTCAGCTTTGGAAACAAAAAGTAAGCCACCGGTGCTAAATCTGGCAAGTACGGTGGATGGCGTAGCACAGTAACAGTTATTTTGTTAAAAACTAACGAATTACTGCTGCAGTGTGAGACGGCGCGTTATGATGCAGTAAGAACTAATTTTCGTTTGTATACAAATCCGGACGTACACACGCGATGTGATTCAATAGCCGATCCATTATACTCACATAGAACACTGCATTCATTGCTTGTCCTTTAGGAACAAATAACTTCGATGTTCGGCTCAGTTCGGCTGGTGTGCAGACGCCCGGTTCTTTCATCATCCTGAATGCCCTATCTATCTCTCACATAAAGATAACTTTAAGGTGCTTAAACTTTAAATCTTTATATAATCTTGAAAGAACTCTAATCAAGGTCGTACTATTTATTGTATATTTCACTTCAAAACCTATAACTTTTATATGGACCGATTTTCTCAAAAAAAATATATTTTTCGAAATATTAAAAGGTTTTTAACATTTTCTGCACACCCAAATAAAGAGCTATGTTTATTAAATGATAAGGAATACGCAGAAAGTTTATATATATATGTATTATATATTCTACTCAAGCTCTTCTTTGCCTTCCTAGTTAATTGAATTTATAAGAATGTATGTTTTATGAATGTAATACGCATTCCATATACTATAACTGCAGAATCCATTAGCATAAAAAAGCAATAACATAACAGACATTTTAGCAAATCACTATTATATATTACAGACGATCCTCCAAAGCCGATATTGTTTAAACAAAAGCAAGTTCTATGATATTTTCAAGCCGTGGATAGGAACAGGATTGTTTACAGCTCCTGGTAAGACTTTGCATACGACAAACAGTTTTGTAACGCAGAAAATATAATCGTTGCATTTCTTATGCGATAAATATCCTCATGCAGTATACTTGTTAATCCCTGCGACGGGGTGGTCGGCGCTTCCACTCGGTGGCCCCCTTGCGGGACATGTCCCGGCAAAAGGAGGCCGCCGCTCCCCACATCTCTTCGCTTTCGCACATTGTTCTCAGCAAGTGCGGGAGCGAAAGATTCTTCCCCTGGCACCCCACCGCCCGTGCGAGGACACGGCGAGGGGCAACGTAAGCGACAAGAGGCGATCGCGCGCGACGAGGAGCGAGCGAGCTATTTCTTTATAGCTTTTTCCTTATAGCTCGCTCGCTCCTCGTCGTTTGCGCTCGCTCGCTCTTCGTCGCACTCGCTCGCCTTTTGTCGCTTGCGCTTGCTCGCTCCTCGTCGTTCGCTTTCGCTCGCTCCTCGTCGCGCGCGCTCGACTCTTGTCGTTTACGTTGCCCCTCGCCACGCGCGCTCGCCTACCGTCACTCGTTGACTCCGCCTGTATCAAATGTCTACGTGCTTACTGCGGTCGCCCTCCGCTCTCTACGCGCTCATTGGCTCACATGTTTTAATTAATAACTCGATAACTATTGCCAATTTGACATTATGGTACATGACTTTTCTTCTCGGCTACACCCAATCTATCTCCAACTTTCGTCTGCATAATCAGCTATCAAACACCCTGTATACGACGTTTCAATCGACGTTGTGCTATACATTAACAAATATACCAAAAGAATATTATAAATTAATAAAATAATAAAATTATACATATACTGTCCAATGTATTTGATAGTTAAACAATAAAGTTGTAATTATTATAATAACACATGAAAAAATATCTTACACAATATGTAATAATAACTTCATATACAGTACATTTGATAACTTATGTGGCCATAGCTAATAGAGGCATAACGCTGATTGATATAAAAAAGTCAAATATCGATTTGCGAATCACAATATCGAGTTATTAGTTACAGAAATCTAATCAATGAAAGCCCGTCGAGAGGACAACGCGTCGCTACTCGTGTTTTATCTCGTTGCTCCTAAGTTTCGCCGCGCGCAATAGTTACTGTGTCGACTAAGCAGCGCTATAGCTCGAATAGCTATAATGCTCTTCCAATATTGTCTCAGGGAGCGTTCATTAATCAGATTTCTATAATTAAAAACTGGAAAATTATTGCGAATATTACTAAATGGTATATGACATTTATGTTTGTATTAATTCGTTCTATATCTCCACGAATTCCTCAGAATAAGTATGGGATACTTTGTATATTTTCGGAAATTTACAAATATTTGAAAGGGTTATTGACAAATTTCTAATATTTTGCAAAGGATGTACCCTATTGCTTTCTTATTTCTTTCTAATATTTAATTTTCCTCAGCATCCAAATGGGTCACACATCGAAAAATGTTAACAACGAGCTTCAATACAAACATATTACGAGTATTCTGCGATACATTTGTGAAACAAGCTTCAATATTTATGGAAAAATTAGAACACATGACAAACGACGAAATTGATTTAGATCATCATTTAGCGACGTGTACGTTGGACATAGTTTACGGTAAGTTAAAATTATTATTTCACATTAATTTGTTAAAAATTGTATATGCCGTAAACTTTTCATTATATTAAATGTACAAAACCACAATGAAAATTTTAAATAATATATTTCATGATATATATTAAGTTAAAATAAAACCGTTATATTAAAATTAAGAGTGTTATATTAAGTTGAAAAAAGCATTACATTAAAATTAAAAACCCCGATATTTTCATGCAAAATCTGAAGACACTTTGTTGGGTATCAATTTGGAATCGCAATCAAATAAAAATAATCAGTATGCCAAAGCGGTGTCAAGGTATGATTCTGTTTTGCAGATCTTTTATTTTTCAATTCTTGTAAATGATATATGTTATATTCAGAAGTTTTAATGAAGTCGTCGCGATGTCTATTTTTAGATTGAAAAATATAGTTATACGTAGAATGCAGAATATATTTTTATATCCCGATATGATATTTAATCTCACTACTCTAAACCGTGAGCAGCAGAAGCATATAAATTATCTAAATTCTGTTGCAGAAGAAGTAGGTATTATGCAAATACATTTTTTATAGATGTTATATTGTTTGATCGCTATATAAATTATTATCATACAGGTAATACAAAAGGAAGACGCAAAAAATAATTTGCACTCTATTAAAGCAGAATATGCAAAACCCTGTAAGTTGTCAATGTTTTATTTGTATGTCTTCAAATGCTATATTTTTGCGGTTGTTGCAAAATATCTGAAAATTTGCTTGTTGAAGTTATATATTTTATATATTAAATTTATACATATATAAAAGAAAATATTTCTTGCTCCTTACCAATTTATGTTTATAATATATTATTTAGTGCAACACATTTGCATTGATCAGAGATTGGTGACAAAATATTGTTATGAGATATGCAAATGAATTCAACACACATACAGGGTGTCCCAGAACTATCGGATTTTCACGTAAAGAATTAAAGGGGCTGCATAAAATCTACACAATGTGTGGGAAACTGCTTCTCGCTTTCTGTGTCTCAATAGATTTTATATTTATGCCGCCCCTTCTCTCTCGCCTCTCTTCCTTCTGCCCCTTTCCCTTTCTCTCTCCGCGTCCATCCTTTTCTTTCCCTCTATTTGAATTTGAAAATTTTTAACGCAGAATATGCAAAACCCTGTTTGATGAAACCCAGCAGTTTGATAGATTAAAATTAAAATTGGAATCCTACTCCACTGTGTACCCGCCCATCGAATAATCCAATTGATCAGGTTCATTAATTATTAACTCATAAACTAATGTTCTGATCCAAAAGTGGTAGAGAAACTTTCGGTTTCTCCTGCACCTTCTTTCACCCTTTAAGAGAAAATCCGGCAGTTTGGAATACTCTATAGCAATATATTTAGCAATAATATAAGAATCTCGTCACCAATATAAAAAAGAATACATTTTATATTGTTTTCTGTTTGAATAAAATAGCAAAAAGGATATTTCTCGATATACTAATGGAAGCGTCTGACGAAGGCAAGAAATTTAATCGCAAGGAAATTCTCGATGAGATCAATACAATGGTGACAGCGGTTCGTATAATTTAACTTTATCGGGATGTACACTCAGAGGCAGATATGGTATTCCTCGGCGGCGTCGTATACGCCTGTAACACAATCGAAAGCGATGACAGGCATATACGCAGGGCATACTGTACAGCGCGAGAGAAGCGAAGAAGGAGCAAAGGAGAAGTGGCGGGAGGCGTTCCGATGTTGCATCTTTATCGCATGTCGCACGATCGAGAGAGAAAGCATTACTAGACGTGGTACGGATAATGGTGTCCCAACTAGATGTTTTACTCACTCTATGCTTGAATATGAGTGAGACAGCTATAGGGACCGCGCTGTCTCTGTAGGTGTTTTACGGCTTCTATAAAATCTCGAAATATGGTGGACTGGGACAAAAACGTAAGTAAAATAATTAATCTACGAACTTGCCACTATCGTCTGAACGAGGGAAATAAAAAACGAACTACTTTTTCAATAATCTTAAGGTATTCAAAAATTATATTTGAAAAATCCTCATAAAAATCGATAGTTTTAAGTTAAAAATATTTTATTTGCAAGAAAACAATATTTCATGAAATTTACGAAAAAACTTATGTTATGCCATAAAATATGTCAAATTGTGCAATTTTTTTTAAATGCATCACGTCTTTACTTTTGAAAAGACTGCGGGAAAGAGGGACGATTTTTTAAATATAATTTTTAAATGCCTTAAAATTATTGGAAAAGTAGTTCGTTTTTTATTTCCCTCGTTCAAATGATAGTGGCAAGTTCGTAGATTAGTTATTTTACTTGCGTTTTTATCCCAGTCCGCCATATTTCGAAATTTTATAGAAGCTGCAAAACAGCGCGCGCTTAAATACGTCACGTTATTTTTTGTGTATCTGCTACATTATTATTCATACGTATAACACTATAAAAATTCATTCTTAGTATTTATATATATATTATTATCTCTACCAAGTTTGAAATCATCCGCTTAGTTTCCGAAAAGTTCGTGAAAATTGCCTATTTTTCTGGCCTACAGACAGGATTCCCTACTTAATCGACATTTCTGTTAAGGAAAAAAGAGGAAAGCACGATACATTGCTATTAGAGCGAGCGAGACACCTATAGAGACAGCGCGGTCCCTATAGCTGTCTCACTCATATTCAAGCGTAGAGTGAGTGAGACAGCTAGTGGGGACATCATTAACCGTACCACGTCTGGTAATGCTTTCTCTCTCGATCGTGCGAAATGCGATAAAGATGCAACATTGGAACGCTTCGCGCCACTTCTGCTACGCTCCTTCTTCGTTTCTCTCGCGCTGAACAGTACGCCTTGCGTATATGCCTGTTATCGCTTTCCATTGTTTTACAGGCGTATACAACGCCGCCGAGGGACACCATACCTCTGAGGGTCAATTGTTCCAACTTTGTGGTAAGTTAACTGGTAGTTAAATCATATCTCTGTTTTTGTCTAAGTTGAAGAAAAAACGAAGACGAACATATGATTTAACTATCAGTTAACTTACTAAGGAGTTGGAACAACCGGCCCCGAGTGCACACATGGTGATTAGTAACTTATGTAGTCAAAGCTAATAGAAGCATAGAGCTGATTGATATAAAGAAGAAAGTCAAATACTATTTGGCAAAAATTATAAGAATAGCCGAATTACGCATAAAAAAATCGAATTAATTAGCGTGTGCTGCCGCAATAGTGGATGGCACGCTTAGATGCTCAAGCTTATAGCGTGGCCCATCTCACGTAGCAATAGCTGCCGACGGTCCTTTCTTTCTCTCGTCCCGCACTGGTAGCTATTGCTTGAAGAAATAAACCGTTAACAGGCCGTTGGTGAAGTAAGTTCGAGTAGCCGAGCGTGTTATCTATTACTATTACCGCAGCGTACACTAATTCAGTCGATTTTTTTTTCACATATAACGTTTGTGACTTTTACGTCATTTTTACAATTTTTTCGATGTGGTATTTGACTTTTTTCTTTATCTCAATTAGCTCTACGCCTCCATTGGTTATAGCTATATGAGTTGCCAAACTCTCTATATAACCATTCATGTAATGTATTAATGAAACTAAAGGAACTAAATATATTTAATGAAATTATAGAACTGATAAAACCAGTTTTCTCTTATGCAGGCATCTGACACGACTGCCATCACTATGTATTTTACAATATTTATGTTGGCAAATTTTCCAGAAATTCAAGTACGTATTAAAGTTTAATTAATTCCTTTTCTGAGATTATTCTGTTTCTCAATAACCGTATTAGTTTTCTTATATTGTTCTATTTGAATCTATTACATTATTTATTGTAAGGAAGTGTTAACTACTGTCCTATCTTATACCTGTACTCGTTCTTTTTAATACTTCATTTTAGTTACGTCTATTTTATAAAAATATTTTATTTTTATAAAAATATTTTATAAAAATTATGTACGATGTGAAAAAATAAAATTATTCTTTATTATTTAAAGGATATAGTTAAAGATCCTAACAATATAGAATCTAAATATTTAAAACTGGCCAATTGGAACTCGCACACAATGTAAATGTGTTCTTTTATAATAAATTCTTTTTTATTAAATGTCAAGTATCATAAAATACATATTATATAATTAACCAATTGTTTCGGTACTGTATTTGGCCCTCATCAATAGTATATTACGCTAACTTACAAATAAAAATTTTTTCTTCCCCCACGAAACATTGATGTTAATATAACACGTAGTCCCATCGCATCGTGTCTTATTACCCTTTATCGATCCATGAAGGAGGAGATCTTCAGAAAAGGAAATCTTGATTCTGCTGCTAACTCTTGAAACATGTGCTGCACCAATTCCTCCTAGTACTTCAATAGGGATCAGGAAATATTGTGAATTTTCACACAGTAATCTTCATGTGCAACTTTGAGGGCTAGCCAAATTCAATTGTGCAGTGTAATAACTGACAAGAGCAATAATACAAATAATGTCATATTGAATGCAACACAAGCAAACCAATCCCAGTAAATACAAAATATCATTGATGTTACAATGTCAGCTAAATCATATGTTACATAACAGTTGCTTTTTTATATAACAAAGTAAAAGTTACATACCATATGATTTAGCTGACATTGTAACATCGACGATACTTTGTGTTTAGTGGGATATTTTTAAATGTAACAATTATTGAAGGTAAACTAACAGAAATAGCATTATGTCCCATGTATCGATATGTAAGATGTGTTGTCAGATTTTATATTGTCTGATTTGCAGCATCCACCTTGTCTCATGCAGTGACAAAAATGCTACATTTTGAGAGACAACTTCCAAGTATTTTTGTTATAGTTATAACATCTGAAACTGCTTCATCAATATTTCTCAATTGGCGTGCCTTATTTTCAACTTATGCTATGTATTAAGCTACGGAATCATTAGGTGATACGCGGTAGAAACTTGGTTATAAATAATAATTTATTTGTTTCGCTCTTATCTACTCGCGAATATTGCAAAGCTTGACCTACATAGCTTTTGCAGTATCACATATAATTAAATATTCAAGCTGAGAATATTCCATAGATGAAGATAATACGTACATGGCTTTTATATTCTTCTTATTCCTTTTTTAATATTATCAGCTACCTTTCGATTTGATTTCTGTACCACCGACCACTTCCAATAGTCCGAATGCAATAAGAATAGAGCATATTTAAAATTTCCATAGCTAGAAATTATTTCCATCAAATTTAGTTATGTTCCGAAGATCTAACGATTCTACCATGACTTGTGCTTCGGTCAAATGAGAGAAAGAATTGGCCAGAGAAACAAGAGATTGTTCACAAGTTACGATACGCGTTTACTTGGTCCCATAACCTCTTAAGACGATTGAACTACTCTTTGGTCAACGCCAAGAACAACAAAAACGTTTATATATAGTGCTTTATATATACTGCTGCTTAGCACAATGTCGAGTCAATGACACATACGAATCAGACTTACATCCAGATAGCCAAACCTGCGCGAGCAAATTTTGAGAGAAGTTATTGACAAATTTAATGCAAGATCTGTGTTATCAAATTCTGTTCCCAAACTGCTGCCAAATATGCAACAGAGAGTTGCTGCCTGGCAACTTGGAGCAGGTCTTGACATCAAAACACGAACTGAATACAGACGTAGATGGCTATGGTTTTGGTATAGATTTTTGATCGAATTTGCTGCAAATTTGAGCGCAATTTTTAGGTAATTCGCTTACTGGATACAAAAAGAAAAATGAAAAAAAACTAGAAAAATGGATTGATCTGAACGATGCCACGCAGGCATTAAAGTACTACTAATGGCGCACGCATACACGCACACAAAGTAACTAAAGAATTAAGTAACTAAAAAAGCGCGAAAATAATCAAATATAATTTTTATATCTAACAATTCTTGTATCATATTTGTTAGTGTCGAGAAAAATTTTCAAAGAGTTTTCAGAAGAATCAACAATTCTCAATTATTTTAAATGTATTGTAATTTGCACAGTGAATGCATATATGCATTGTTACAATTATTAGGTGCTTGAATTAATTCTTGCTGTTCTATTGCGTTGGCAATAGAATTTTTCCAGTAATGCCTCCAATTCTCCATCTTTAAGTTCTTTCGGCTGATCAGAACGCTCTTTGTCACTCACGTCAAAATTGTTGTCTTTGAATCGTCTAAACCAATCTCTGCGAGTTGTTTCAAATAAAGCATGCATCCCATAAGCCTCCATTAGCAAACGATAACTTTCAGCAGCAGATTTCTTGAGATCAAAATAGAAAAGTAATACTTCCCGCAAATGCTTTTTCTCTTATACGAAACCCGACATCTTCAATGCAATAACAAATTGTGTTCTTTGCACTCTGATCTAATGTCACATACTGATTAAAGCCTATTGATAATACTTTCATACATACATACGGTCACTTTCGGCCATATTAAAATATTACAATTACTGACCTCTATTAGTCAACAGCGAGAATTAATTCAAGTACTTAATATAATTAACGTATCTCCTCACATTGTTAATTTTTCTCAAAATCTACAATTATAACATCACAGAATATGTGTATATATAAAAATTATGTAAAAATGATAATTATAATTATAATTATATATTGTTTGAGAAAATTTGTCTGAGAAAAAGCGCCAGAACGAGATTAATCATTTCCCATAGCTTTTTGGAGGCTGAATGCGAATTAAACCAAACTAAATTCATTACTCCAAACTAAATTGCTCTATCATATCACAATTTTGAAAAATTTGCAGTTAAATTTGTAAAAATGGGCTGTTTTTACGTATTTTGTCATCTTATAACTAAGTAATGCGGCATACCGGAGAAGGCTTCAGCTGCACCCTCACGGGAATGCGAAGTTTATATTCCTGACGCTCTACCAGGCCCAGATTTTTAACTGAGCCCACGATACTGGGACCACAACCTTAACGTGATTAATTTTTTATTCTTCTTAGAATTAACAATTACGATATACGGACTCGTAATATGCAGATATGATGCATCCGAGCCAAAATAAACGGAAACATTTATGGTTTTACAATGCTAGTGCAACTTGATATCATAAATAATAAAGAATAATTTTTATCTTTTCACATCATATTATTCATTTCCTGCAAAATCAACCTGGAAAATACAAAAATCTTTAAAATAGTATAGAAAGACGAGTAACAGATATAGTACAATATAAGGTTTAATATCGGTTTAAATAGCTATTTAAAGAAGGATATTTACCTAAACGAATCAAAATGAGATCAAACCTTGCGAATTCTTCGCGGAAAAAACGGAAAGTAATACAGAGGGTGTGTTTGTACAACTTCATATTTCTCAACAAATCATATTTCTCGTTATTTAAAAATTTAAATATTATAAAAAATATAAAAAATTTGCGACGCTGTTGCATATTTTGTACAATATTATTTAAAACAGCGTTTATACGATTATTACCGTTGTTCTCACAAACCTCATCTGGAAGCAAAATCAAACAAGATTCATAAAATTTAAAGATAAATATAGTATTTGACGTAACTGTTTTTCGAAATACTGTTTATGAACAAAATGACAACTAGTCAAAGTTCACATAACGTTTTTCATTGAAATTGTTGCTCGGCTTTGACTGTGAGGAAAAACTAAGCATCATAGAGAGAAACTGCTGTGTCCAAAAATTAGTTTTTAATGTTCATAAAAAGTGTGTAAAATTGCAAGTCAATCGGTGTTTTCGAGATATAGTAGTCACGTTTTGAGAATATATTTTGAGAATAACATGTTTAAGTTTTACATTAAGTTTACTTTACGTAAGCATTACAAATTTTACATTTACACTGAATCGTCTACTCTAAGGCCATAAAATAAACCATTATCGAGGTGGATGCTTCCAAAAGCTCAATCAGAATGTTGATTCGACGTTAATTTGACGTTGAAAGAGTCGATGAACCGTTGAATCAAGTTACTTCACCCTCATCGACGTCGAATCAACATTATTTATTCTGACTGGGAAAATCTTTTTGTTTTTACTTACGTCGTAATCTTTTCTCTTTGCGCTGCTTAGTGTCCGCTTTTCAGTCTAAAGTGCATATATCTTCCGCAACAATGTATATATACATGTATATATATGTGTATATACGTGCATTCGGACCTATCTATACTTGCATTGATTGGAAATTCTTAAAAACATTATTGCATACTTTCATAAAATGTATCATATATGCGGCAATATATACAGCTAATTTAGCTCGGCATCTATACAGGGTGTTGTCCCATTTAACGCGCTGACAAAGAATTCGTGATAAATACTGGAAAACTACAGATTCGCGAAGAAAAAGAATGGCGTAATGAAAATTTGTTCGCTCGAAGAAGGGCGACATCCACGTGTATCAACTCGATCGCTATCCCCATGCTCTCATCGGGGGA